CACACACACACACACACACACACATGAACACAACGCCCAACCCCAGAGGCCCCTTCCGTGAGATAGGCCGAGGATGCTGCGGCAGCATCTGGATCCGCGGAGTCGACCCCTGGGTCATCAAACGCGAACACATGCATACAAACCACTCCGTCTTGAACGACCACAACATGCATCGACGAGTTATCGCAGCAGACGAAACACACACGCTACCTGTGCGCATACCGAAGTCTTACGAGGTCTTGGAGGCTGATAGTTTCTGGTGGGATAACAATTTCACTTGCTTTCCTCCAGGTGAAGAAGTGAGTAGGAGCTACACGCAGGAGAGGATACCTGCTGTAGGGCTGCCTATTCGCGAGATGCTTATCGACAGATATTGTCGTGAGGCGTTGAAGGATGCTACGAGGACGAGCAGGAAGAATGAAGATTGTCTCATTCGAGTGTACACGGGGAAAAGGAGACCGGTGGGACGCCCGCCTGGCATGTTCTTTAACCTGCGCAACTACGGTCTTTGCGTTGATCAGATGGAAGAGCTAGGTTTGGATCCCGTTGTCATCGCGAAGACCCTGGCTGAAGCGCTTGCACATTGTTACTGGAAGGCTGAAGTCGACGCGAATGATGTTGAGTTTGTTCTTGCCCCGGCTACATCATCTATCAGCGGCGACACGCCAACACAAATGTTCAAGCTGCTGGATGAAGAGCTCGTCATCTGGATGCTAGACTACGACTGCGTACGTCCTATGGCTGAAGACGCAACCGGCATCGCGCAAGCAGTCCATGCGTTCTGGCGCAACGATCCGTACTTCCCCCGACCTTTTGCATACGGCCATACAGATGCTGATACCGAATTATGGCACGCGTTCAAGGCGCACTTCCTCCATGTTAGCAGGCGCATGTTGACAGACAAAAAGGGAAGTGTAGATGAGGACATATTGGACCTCCCGCAGCAATGGGTGACGCAAGTAGAAGCCGAAGGACGTCGGCGTGCAGCAAGACAAGAAGAGCGACGTCAGTGAAGGGGAATGGGGCGACTTGGATGAGCGGTACTTACGGAGATCGTAATTCGTGGATATTATACGAGGTATCATGTAACACATAACAAAGGAGAGGTCTGAATGCGCGCGCTTCGTGTCAACATTCGCAGTCTATAGACCATATACATCTCCTCTTAATCGCAACAGCACCACCCTAAACAACAACAACATCCAACACCCCCTTCCCACTTCCTTCCCTCACCCTCCTAACCTCAACCCACCCATCCTTCTCCAACCTTACAATCTTCCCATCAACACATATCCTCCTCCACCTCCCGTCCTCCTCCTTCCCCTCAAACTCAATCCTCAACCCATCAATACTCTCATACCTCACATCCCCATCACCGACATGCTTACCCCCATCATACGCCTTATTCATAATACCCATGACGTCATCGCCACTCCTCGGGGTAAAATGAACAAGGTGCATACTCCCGTCTAGCGGTCTGGTAGCAGGGGAGATGCAGAATGGCTTCTCGAGGTGCGAGACCATGGTTGCGAGGATGTACATGTGTTCGTCTTCTGGTAGAGCGGTCCAACGATCCTTTTCTTTATCTTGGAGGATGGAGACTTTGCCTTTGTAAGGATGTGGTGGCGAGCCATCGGCGGGGTACAAAGCTTCTTTCGCAGCCATCTTGAAGCGCTCGACGCCGTGCTTGCGGTACTCGGTTGTGTCGCTGTCGCCGACGAGCGTGGCGTGCATGCCCCAGGAGGCTACGACGGCGCCGTGGAGGATGCCGTTGCCCTGTGGATCTTTGGGTAGTTCTTGCTCTTGTCGGCCTTCGTCGATGAGGAGGCGGGCGCCGGGGGAGAAGGTCGCTGTGAAGGTGGGAAGGGGCTTTGTTCTCCATGAAGTCAGGGTGGGGAGACCCCATGCATCGTATCCTCCGGCGTTGATGGAGTGGTAGAGCGCGTTTGCTGTGCCGAGAGGCAGGATGACGACTTGTGGGGGGATGTAGGTTTGTGGGTTTGGTGTTTTGGACGAGAGACCGTTTACGAGGTCTACGATACCACCGTCGCCTGAGAGGAGGATGATGCGGATGGCTCTTCCTTGGTTGGCGGCTGGAAAGAGGACGACATCGGTGAGTACCAAGATGCTGGTTGGCGATTCAGTGGTGTGTACTTTCAACTCTTCGATGCCTTTGTCTCCATATATGCTTTTGAGAATCGGGCGAACAGCGCTGGAGAAGAACTCATCTGCGAGTCCATGACCGGAGCCACTCGAGATGATAATGTGAGTCTCGCGCTGCTCCGGTTGGGAGAATGGTAGTTGTTGATCGCGAGGTCGTGTTGATACATTGATCAAGAAAGGCGGCCTCGTGGGATCTTTGTGCTCTTGTAATGTAACAACGGCCTCTGACTCGCCATGGACGCTTTGAGTCGTGAACACGATCTTGCGATGCTGATCGTCCCCGCCAGATCTGTTCATGATGGCAGCCTAGTGTAAACAATGACTCGGCCGGACTTTTTACTGTAGTGCGATCGCAAATGAGTAAGATGATGATCAGTTCATAGACGGCCAGAAGTCGAACCGAGCGATGAACGTCCGGTTCCTGCCACATGCCATGTCACCCACGCCATGGTGTGGAGATAGGCGTGATAGGCTGGCTGCCCAATCGCGCAATCCCACCTGCCCCATTTTTCGATGCGGTAGGCGCTAGTCCGCGTGCGTCATGTTCAATAACGGCCTCGTCGTGAGACGAAAAGCACGCATCAATCTGAAACTTTTCCGTCGGAACAGATTTTGATGATAGGGGTTCGACACTACTTCCTGTCATTGTTAAGATCGCAAAGGATTTCTCCGTCACTTTAACAGTTGTTAGATTCGGGCAGCGGCGTCAGCAAGGGTTACGTCATCACTTGGCGATACTACGCAGCCGCCTGGGCTGGAGGAACTCAGCCGCGCCTGCCAGCTACACCAACAAATTGACATTGCGGCGCAGCCAGCCGACGTCGCATTCCACGCCTGTCGGGACACCATCAGGCCCATCGCCTCCTGCTCAGCGACAGCAAACCCATCGGATCCGCGCAATCGCGCCCACCAACCGCAAACCGCACATGCGACCCTAAGCCCTTCCCCCAACAACCCACACGACCACCGCCACCATGAACGGCTGGCTCGTCTTCATCATCATCCTACTCCTCCTCCTCTCCTTCTCATACTTCGGCTGGTACTTCTACGCCCGGTGGAACGCCTCCCGCAATGGCCTACCTCCACCCTCCATGAACCCAATGGTAGCCTTCAGCCGCTCCTCTGACGCGGGCGCAACCTCAAACTACCCGGGCCCCGCGCCCACCGGCATCAAAGGCTGGTTCGACACCCAAGTGCGCAAGTTCAAAAACAGAAACAACCGGTACACAACGGGTAGCGGCTACGAAGACGCCGGCTACAGCGGCGGGCGCGGCGTCGGCGGGGGCCGCGGCGCGGGAAGTCGTCTTGATCCTGATGAGGCGTGGAGTTCGCGCGTGGGCGACGAGGCATACTATGAAGAGCAGGAACTTGGGCTTCATGAACCGGCGTCTACCCATGGTGGACAGACTGCGAATCCATATGCCAACCCCACGCCGTATAACAATGTCGAACCAAGTCGTGGTCGTAGCCGCACACGCGATTCCTACGACGAACATCTCGATGCGCAGAGTGGGAGGAATCCGTTTGGCGACGATAATGCGGCGAGTCTGAGGGGCGTGAGTCCTAGGCCGGTGCTCGATGCGGATACGAGTTATCGGGGTGGTGCTACGGCCACCATGCCCAGTGTGAGCAAGCACAGGAAGGCGGGTAGTGTGGATAGTGTGGAGAACAGCCCGACGGAGAGTCGGAGGAGTGTGTTCAGGGAGGGGTTGTAAGGCGATGAAGAGTTTGGACGAGGATTTCTGATACTATACCTATGCTGGGATTGGACTGGTGTTTTTTTGGACTGGCGGGGTCTTACCCGACGGATTGGACTTGAATGATATTTTGTTGTATTTTCACATTTGGCGGGCATTACGTGACGGCGCATTGACTGACAGCACATAGGAGGCCAGCATCTTAACAAACATACCAATAATGCCTCCCTACGTTAGTCAAGATGGGCAACCGCCTATCTCACATTGCAAGGATCAAGACCCCATCCAAACTCCCATCCCTTCCGCGCGAATTCCGGAACAACATCTGCGACAAGTTCCCCCGCGACCTACAAATCGAATGGCTTTGGAATACCCGGAGGTACACTGATACCCGTCACGCTCCTTCGACGTCATCAAAGTGACATTTCACAACCCATCTACGGTACCATATGTGAACCTGGTTTGATGTTTTGCGTATTGGTTGGGTTGGGTACTGTATGCGGAATGGAGCTTGATGCGACTGGCCCAATGATAGTGGTTGTGGGAGTGACAGAGCTAGAGGCGATCGATGTCTGGGAAGCCGACGTGCTCTGTCCCGTTGTACCCGTTGATGCACTACCAGCGACCGCGGATAGGTCTGGCATTGGCGCCGCCTGCGTCGATGGGCCGAGCGCGGCTTCACGTCTCTGCCTCGACTTCTCCTTGGCATCAGCCAATTTCTGAGCCGCGACAGCATCCTCTGCTTTTCTATCTATCTTGTTCAGCTTACGATATTTCTCATACAGGTGACAAGTTGTCCTACCTTTCCTGCTGCTTGGTAATTTAAGGTTAAAATATCCGAAGAATGAGGATGTTATTGATTGAGACCGGTGAGTCTCAATAATGTCGTAACCATGCTCTATCAACCAAGGCTCGCCGATTACGAGGTCGAAATTGTCGACGTTTGGAGCCACCCAGAAATCGTTGCTGTATGAGTTCCCGTCGTTGTTCAGCTGCCAGCTCAGCGAGATCTTCTCGTGGAAGCTGAAAGTATGGCCAAACATCTTCAGGCTTGCCGTATCTTCAGCCTTGAACACAAAAGACTCGAGCCCGGCTCTCTTAACCACCTCTTCGGCGATGAAGTTTACATTAGACCCACTGTCAAACTTTCCCCTAACTGGGTACCATATGCCCATTCGGATCCGTCCACATTCGCAGGGCGATTTGAATGCATCCCGTTGTGACTGTGGTAGGGAAGAGGGATTTCTTTCCGCTATGAGGCTTATCGTGGCATTGAAGAGACTGGACTTTTCTGCTGGAGTGCTTAGGGGTAGCCCTTGCGAGTCTATCTGCTGCCTTGTACTGATGCTGGGCTTGTTCGGAGAGTCAGCTGATGGTTTCGACTTGTCGAGATGCAAACTGTTGATTGGGGCTCTACCCGTGCCTGAGCCGTTTTTTAACAATTGGATAGTGAGAGCACTAACTGATCAGCGGTCTTTCATCTCTATTAAGAATAATACTGACTTGGTGGCAATGTCCCTAAACAGTATGACCGCACTTTTGAACGTTGTGAACGTTTCCCTTAACGTGATGTGAGTGGACATAGCCTGCACAGCCAACGCCATTGCGGATCTCTTGCTCATGTTATGTAATAGCTTTTCTAGTTGCGCGCTACAGTCTTTACATCGCTGAAGAGCTATGATGAGGGATGCTGGCTGATAAACGAGCTCGTCAGTCAGCATCTTCGACTCATCTAAGACCCACAAAAGAATCATGATTTCTCCAAAGACCTCTTCAGACTTGGCATCCCCGGACTTAGGGCGTAGAATATCCTGATAGCGTCCGACAATCTTGTCCAGGCTTTCGATAAGCCCAAGAGTGCCGATAGAGACAGAGATGGGATCCATTATGGATAGTAAGACATGCGAAAAGTTGACAGGTCTGGAGTTGATGGTATCAAAGCTTGTCAAAGATACTGTCCCCTCGATGCAGGGGATGGTCCGATTACTATATGCTAAGGTCTCAAACTATCTGCAAAGCAACCATAGGCTGCATTGGTTTCAGCCTTGCTGCATACGCGTGCCAAGTAATGAGCTCAGTGGCCACACGACTTTCAGCTGAAGCCCAACGCGAAGCTGACAGATTTAGCCGCCGCCACATGCAGCTCTACTGCAATCCAAGGGCAAATGGATTTACACACGACCCAAGGCTGAGGCCGAATATCAGCTCCAGGCGCTTATATCATTGTTCAGCTGAAGAGGCGGAGCCAATGGTCTTTTACTGGTTTCGTATAACGATGATAAGATTTCACGATGAACTAGAGCCCTGATCTTCGCTATTTTCTGTTTTGAAGTTGCCTTATCACTCTCTTGCGCTGACAAGTCGATTCATTTGCAAAATGGCACAACCTTTTCACCGCCACCCTAAGGGATATCCAAAGCTCGCACTATTAATGGGAGAATTCCCGGATGTCGCCATCTTTCGACGCTTCGGATCTCTGGGCGCACTTAATTTGATGCGCCTCCAGGCTGAGCTCATAAAGATAGAAGAAGAATTACAGCTTCAGCAGCTGAAAGACGACGGACCAGGCCAACCAGGAGAACGCTATTCTATAAGCTTTTCCGAAATGAATCTGACAAAAGCGACCAAGGAGGGCGAACAGGGCCACCCCAATCAGATGGCATTGCTGGAATCGGCACAAACGAAACTGATCGCATATCGTCTGTAGCCTAGTCTCATCGTCTTTTCTGACTTGCCTAACAACGTATCGTAGACCAATTACTTCTCACAGCTGCGAAGGTCACCCAGCTGCGGAAGCCTAGTGATAGCAGACTGAGATTTCTGCGCCGGTGGCTGCGTATGGATGAAGGCGGAGCAAATTTCCTGGAAGGTGTCGAACTTGAAAAGACCTGGGACGACGCTGTCAAGCGCGACTTAGTGGTGTTGACGCATGAAGACCACGAGGAAAACAACGCGCTATCAGCATGGGCCACCCCAAAACTCCTCAGTGCATTCCACTACATCTTCCAATCAGTAAGTGTCCTGAAACTGCAGATGATGTTACTATTGACGATTTGCAGCTACGCTCGCCCATCACCACTGAAGCTGGAGACGTTTACGATTACGAGGACTCGAAAGCTGTCAAATCCGTAACGTGGCTGATTACCCTTCTAGCAACTATCGGCATGTCATTGCTTCCGAGCCTCATCATCCTTTGGCTGTTCCATGTGAAAAGAACGATTATCAGAATTTGGATCACCGTGGGGGCCACAATCACCATTGGGGTTCTTCTTAGAATCTTCACAACTGCGACGATGAAGGAGATTTTTGGTGGCACAGCGGCGTATGTCTTCCCCTATACCTATTGAGTGTCTTGAGACTTACATTTCGAGACAGGTTTGCGGCCGTCGAGGTTGTCTTCATAGGTAGTGCCAACGGTACCTATGCTGGATCGTGATCAATGTTACTGCACGTCACTTTACGTCCATGCTATTCAGTACTTGATGATCCCTCAAAAACTCTTGGAGCTGATAGGTGGGGTACGTAGAACTCACAGTGTTCGACTGGTCGTGATGATGGACGTCGCTTTCGAGCTTTCTGGGTTGCAGTGAAGTCGACCTTCAACCGATACCGAGCATGAATGGTCGAAGGGCTTTGATGATTATGTCGGTGTCTCGTGAGCTGGGCTATTAGTTGTCTCACATGTTCAATGCACGCAAAGAGATTGAACTGTGTTCTGGATAGTAGCATATGATCGCGCCTAATCTTCATCGCATCGAATTTGCTTCTTCGACAACCTAAGAGGACCTGGGATGCGTCTTCTCGAACGATGCATCTTCCCCAACCACGACTCGATACACCACTCGTGCATACTGGTCCGCCTGTTTCGCCTTGTCCCCCAACTTCGACTGCTCAAATGCCGATCGTGCATGTAGGAAGGCTTCTACTAGATGGTCCACTATATGACCCCACCTTGTAACCAAGAAAGCTGCAGAAGTGCGATCGAGCCCAGTAACGGTGAAGCCCAGGCTCTGGAAAATCTTCTCCACTGATTCCAGCCCTTTTGTAAGATCAGGTTGTCTCATATAGATTCGGGTCAACAACAGCTGCGGATCCCAGAGCAGGAGTCGAGGTACCTCTTCAACGGGACGCGAATACGTCTCATTGAGCGCCTTGAGCAAGCGTTCAAACTTCGCGTTGAAAGCGTTTCCACTCGTCGTTGACTTGCAAAGCCGTTCCAGCTGCTCGAGCAAGGTTCGCCTCTTCGTGACTTCGGAGGCCTTGGTACTCTTGATGTCTTCACAGAGCGGGCAATTGCAAACGAAGCCCCAGTTCTTGAACTTTTGGTCGACCTTCGAAGTGTAGTGGCCATCCGGGGCCTCGTACGGGAACGACAACTCCGTACCAGCTTCCATATCTTTCTTTGCGCGTACGATCATCATGTCGCCGATGAATGAGCGACGGACGTTGCCGAGGCAGCTGTGGTTGATGTACGAGGCTTTGATCCATATGCCGCAGGAATGGTATGCTTTCTCTTTCGATTCCTTGTTATCTTTGAGCCTTTTGTAGCTGTTGAGGCTTGTGATAGGACTACCGAAGACGTTGAGGGTCATTGTTCGCTCAACTAGGAAGCTGGACGATTTAGTATCAAGAGGTCACATTGCTTGACTTCAGGTTCAGGATGGACTTACGTGTCTACGATCGGCTGCCCATCGACAGATTTCGCGTCAACTGCTTCGTAGTCGCCGTGGTAGAGGTCGGTAAATGTAGGGGCCGTCGAGGAGTTTTTGAACATCTTTTGCGTGATCAGCTGAATGAGATCAGCCTGGCCGCCAAGAAAGCCCTTGTCCGTCTCGACGTTCATCAAAAGAGAGATGTTTGCGTTGCCTTTGCGTTCTTCGTCAACATGAGCATGGCTGAATGCTTTCTCACACAGCAGCAGGTCTCCGACTTTCGCGGGCTTGGTCAGAAACAAGCCGCGGCCTTTTCCTTTGACTTTCCGGACCTCCAGCGGACCCACGTATGTAGCATGATCCAAGTGGGGAGGGTGATGCTTCTTTGCTTCGGCTTGGAGAAGCTTGAAGTCGTATTCGCCGGTGCTACTCTCAGCACATCGACGTTGAGCACGAGTAAGTGTAGCGGCTGCTTCTTTATTGGCCGGGAAGTGTTCGCAAAGCTTTTCGAGAGTTTGACGGCTTTCGTCATAACGAGTGAGGTGGTAAAGTGCCTCAGCTGCACGGAACATTCCCTTCTCCGAGGGCTCTCCGCTGAAGGACGGGTAGCCGGTGTCGGCAAGCGCAGCATCATATTGTTTGGTTTTGAGGTAGGCCAGTGATCTGTTTCGTCTAATGACTTCGACTTCGCTAGACGTCGCTGTTTGCGCCAGGACGTCCGAATACCTGGCATGTATATCAGCACAGCCAGTTGCTCAATGTAGATTTTACTCACTTCTCGATAGCTCGCCAGTACCTCTCTTTCCCTATGAGAGTGTTTCCCTCCAGCTTTAACGACTCCGCTGTTCTGCTCATCTCTAGCAGTCTGGGCTTCCACGACGTAGGTGTCATGGTTTCCTCGTCGGTGAGGAAGATGATATCAGAAAGATGATCCACCCGCAGGCTGTAGTCTCCGGAAGCCGTAACCTTGAAGAAGGGCTCCTTCACGATAAGAATCGAGCCCTTGTCAACAACATCAACGGCTGGATGGCTAGTCTCATCCTCCTGCTGGTACATTTGCAACAATGTGACATCCCCGCGTTCATCCTCCGCAATAACGAGAATCGCTGTCATACGATTCGGCGGCGTGATGGCTCTTAACGTCAGATAGCGACCGCGATGATGCGTCTCGAGCCGAAGGTCTTCGATCATGATAGGCTTCAAATCGTCAAGAGGTGTGGTGCAAGGTGGATAAGCTGGTGGAACGAACGACGACTGTACGTGTTGTTCTCCATTGTTAGTAGCCCTCCCACTCATTTGTACGGTCGACATTGATGCCATCATGAACTCGAACAGCATCTTGTCTCTGTCTTTGCGATCTTGGGGACGCTGGCCTTGCTTGCTCTTGGCGTCTTGGAGCATGCGCCTTTGCTTTTGCATGAACTGAGCATACTTATCGACGTTTTTGCAAACGTCCATTGCTACGGATGGCGGAGTAGAGGAGACGGTCCGGCGGATGTGAAGTGTTTGCAATGCGTGAGGATTTGTGTGATTGGAAAACTCTAGGAGGGTGCGCTCTTATACACAGTGGGGCAGTCGTAGGTAGCTCGACCGTGGTACGTTGTTGGACGATCCAGGGTTCAAGAGGACGGCGGCCAAAGTATACTCTTGAACGCGCCCTCCTTGCATCTTCTATGGCGTATCAGCGCGCGCCTACGTGCAGATGATTCCATTGGCTAAGAGCGTAACACGTAAGTCTGTACCACGCCACTCATGCGCGGGGACAAACGAGGCTGTGTGTAGCACCAACCGGAAGCATCGTCCCTCCATGCAAGATGCACGCTCGGCCCGGCAAGCCTAGGTGTATTTTTGGCAGAATCATCCGATTGGACCATGGCATGTGCAAATACTGCATTGCACACATCGGTCGTACAAACACGTATGGATATCGATCATATTCCAGTCCCTAGTTGTCGTCCGGCCAGCTGATGAACAAGCTATCATCCAACTCTTCGAGCAGCCTTCGCCTCAGTTCCTCATCCGAAGACACCAGCTCATCATCGGGATCATCTAGCGGCTCAGCGGGCGCTGGTTGCGGCGCTGGCTTCGATCGCGACTTCGATATACGAACCAGATTGCCTCTCTTGCCGTACCTGAACCCCTCCGGCGGCGGCGGTGACTCAGGTCGTGGCAGCGGCTCAGGGCTCTCCACCTCTCGTGGCGGACACGTGCGGTTGATGCCGTAAAAGGTAAGATGTCTTCTCCATTCCTTCTTCCCAGCAATGTATATGCCTGGTATCCTGATCTTCAAATACCCGTTTCCTAAGAAGGATACGCCGAGTCGAACCTCTGGGTTTCCAGCACCTTCGTAGTTCTGCCGAATGCCTTGCAGAGGTTGTAGCTCCACAGCCGGGACTTTGGGAAGGTTGAGGGGTAGGTGCCATTCGTTCTTGAGGCCGGTGAGGGAAAGCTTTGCGGTGGCTTCCATCGAAGAGAGTGCGGTGTCGTTACTATGCTCTCCAACAACAAGCTTCCCAGTCTTCCACTGATGGAAATTGAACCGGCCAGTGTATATCAGCGCCCGGTTGTCGACTTCGTGGAGGTCAAGATAGTTGGGAGAGTAGAGATCCCATTCACCTCGGACATCACCAACCTGCACTTCCTCTTCTCGATGGAGTCTTATCGCTAGATGTCTATGCGCTCTCTCGACGCGCTTTTCGTGCTCTTCTTCCACTTTCATGGCCGCATCATAGCCATCGCCGTCAACCTCGAAATCGGCGAGATCCGAGTCACCGGAATCTGATTCGTCAGAGTCCGGTTGGCCGGTATCAGATAGAAGAGAGGATTCAAGCGCATTCTTTATTCCTTTCCTGGCCGCGATTGGCCACTCTCTTGGAGTACCGAAGTTCGCGTTCTCCTGCGCGACTCTCTTGGCGGTGTGGGCACTGCGACTGACTGTCGCATCATCGGTAGCCTTGCGTTTGGGAGCTGGTCACGTCAATCCAGCCCGTCTCAAGGCTGCTGATGGTATACGCACCTCTCTTGGGCGGCATCACGATCTGTGAGCATCCTGACGCGTGTTGGAAGCGTGGGGTCGCGTCCAGCTGCGCGCGTGTGATCGGCGGTGATTACGTCATCTCATTTCGTCTTATCCCTTTTCGGGTGGGCAATACCAAAACGCCTCTTCTCCTGCAATCTTTACGCTCATCGCAGTACACGACATGTTCATCTAACACCAGTCACCTTTTACTTCACGTCGTTTTCACTTTCCACATGGGTCGTGACTGCGATAACGAAACGATTGCATCCGCCAACTCTACGCACTACCAAAAGACAGACGATATGTAGACAAAAAGACTCCCGTTAATGCACAAGAAACGATCGCGTGACATCCCTGTACTCCATTCCGAGATCCCGACAAATTTGTTCCTGGCTGTAGTCCGGATAATTAATCGGAATTAGCTTCTCTAAGAACTCGTTACACTCCTTGTCCCTGGCCCTCTGCTCCGATGTCAAAAGCGCCGTAGTAGAGACATGGTAGTCATACGCCCCCTTCCCAGCGACGATATCCCACTTGTTCTGCCAGTCTTCAGGGACCTCGGGCGAGTTCGGGCCACCAAAGACAGCAGCAGTAGGAAGAAACTGGCCTTCGTATGCGGGGTTGCGGGGCTGAAGGTTCACAGTACCGCGATGGGCCTCTGCGCGCAGGTAACACATGTTGCCGACGCGACTGATGATGTGATCGAGCACGTCCCATATCTCCGGCTTCTTGTTCGCCGAGGACAACATCGCAGATGCCATTGCGATGTCTCGGATACATTTCAGACTGACTTTGGATCCAGGAACCGAGCTAGCTTTCAAGTCCCCAAAGTCTCGCAACCAGGCTTTGATGACATGGATCATCTTGTTGGCGATGAGATCCAGCGTCATGATGTCGAAATTGAGAAGGAATTCATCCTCCTTCATGGCGTCTCGATACGTCTCAAGTGTCTGGAGAGGACTGAGTTCTTGTTTGCGACGCTTGCCATGCTTTGACTTCTTCGATTTGTCTTCCAACCGATGTCGGACCACGCGCTCCAGAAGCCAGATCGGCTCGTTCTTATTCATGCCATTCTCGTCCGTCTTCAGCATCACCCGCTTTAGGCCGTCAAAAGCGGAAGCCTGTCTAACGAAAGCGGAGAAGATTTCCAGTTTGCGGCCGCCCAGATTCTTCTTCGTGTCCATCGTCTCGAACAACTCATACATTGGCCTGCCGGCGCGCTTGTGCTTGGCAAGCACACTGGGACTGAAGCCTCGCATCAAAAGTAGCCGCTTATCGCACTCTTCGTAACCAACCGGACGGGTACCTAGGAAGATATGCGTCTCGGTTTGCTTGGCAATCAGATATTCCATGTCAGGCCACCGTCGCAGCAGCCCGTTCTTGAGTCCGGCATTGTAGATGTGGCAGGCGAACAAGAGTTGCTCGGAATGTCTTGCAGCCTCAACACCGAACAGATGCACACCTTCCTTATGACGCTCTAGTGTGCATCCAGCATAGGTTGGTTGGTTCTCGAGGTAGAACGGGCCATCCACCAAAGTTCCTCCCCCGAGCCATGAATTGTGCATCTTGAACGTGTCGCTGACATGGTCAACCCTTTCAAGAGTCTCAAGAAGGCGATTCCATGAGGAGGCTAGTTGTGTGTGCAGATAACGGCCCCATTCGCCGTCGTGGTTTTCGGCAAAGTCGATGTACCGTCTCAATGCGCCACTCATTCTTGCGTTACCATCCAGGAGATCCCTATGCGCACGAGGCACTTCCGCACCAAGCTCACGGTGCATGTCGACGAACATCTGGAGTGCGAATATGATCCAAGTGCTTGCTTTTTGCTCCTCATCGATTGTGTGAATTGCGCGAGCTAGGATATCATGGTCTCGTGTGAATGCACCCACATCGGCTGACCTAGAGAGGCTCAAGAAGACGCTAAGGCACCTTCTCATGTGAGTCTGCTCGGTTCTGGCAGTTTTCCTGCCAGAGTGATAATCTACCATCACTTCCTTCTTGCCGTCGTGATCGAAGAGATGGTCTCGGAAATATACGTTATAAGTATCTTTGCAGACGAAGGTTTGCGGTGACAGTTTGAAGTCATCGAGATCGTACCAGCCCATCTCGTCTTTCCGGGTGATGCCGCTGGTACCTTGTTCTTCGAAGCTCTCAAGGAACTTGATCACTTTGTGGTGGCTTTCGAATTCTGGAAAGTCTTTGAGGAAGGCCTCGTTCACCCGTCGCAAGATGTCAACTGCGACATTGGCGGTAGTCGCTGCTGTGGTGAGCGCCAGGCTACGTTCCTTGTATCCGCGCCAGGTTTTGTGGACAAATAAACGAATTGCTGTCATATCTTTGAGGAAACAGAAAAGCGCAAAGGCCTTTTCACTCTTTCGGTTGGCGGACTCCTTGATACGGTAGCTTCGGCTCTGCATGTCTGTCGGTACCGAAGGCACGTAGCCCGATGGCTCAGCATGCTCTTGAGCCAGATTGAGGTGTTCGAAGAAGTTGGATGTGCGACTATTCGTAGATGCTCCTTTCTCGCGTTCTTCCTTGGTCTTGCCTGCTGTCGGCGCTTTAAGCGTGTGGTAATAGTAATCGAGGATATCGATGAAGAACTGATGGCCTTCATCATCAATGTCACCACCAGCTTCTCGCTCTGGTTTCGCTCGGTAGAACCCTGCACATTCTTTGCGAGCGGTGATTACACTCCACAAGATAGCTTCGATATCGGTCGGCAGAGTGATCTTAGCCCTCGCAAGGATGTCGACCAAGGTCTTGAATGCGTTTAGAGGCACTTCGCTCACTCCGTTTTGTCGGGCTGCAGCGCGAGCTTGTCCCTTGAGACGTGCGTTCTTGATCAACAAGTGGTCAATGGACTGGATTTTGGCGGCTGATGTTGCCAGCCAAGTAGCTACGATTTGCGTACCACTTTTGTATCTGAGATGAAAGGAAGTGGTCAGCCAACCTGGGTAGACGATCTAGATAGCGAACTCATACCGTTTGTAGGTATCCACTAGAAGAGATGGTAGATGATCCATGATAAGCGCCGGCGCTCAAACGCGCGTCCTTTCTAGAAATAGGAAGAGATAGTAGACGCAAGTATTGGACGAAATGACAGAGTATGGAGAAAAGAGAGCTACTGACGCGGAGTCTGTGCGCGCTTAACCTATTCGATACCCTGAAACAGATACAGTCTCAACGACTATTTCCACGAGATGTCTTCTTTAGAACTGCGGAGTCTCAGTTCGACGTTCGCAAATGGTCTATCGATGAATGGCTTGAGACGAAAGAAACTTGTACGTATCGCGATTGCGCTGGCAGTGGTAGACTCTCGCCGCAGCTTTCCATCCAAAAGAAGGGACAAAGACGTGTTCGCTCAGCCTGTAAGAAAACGTGTATACAATACTGAAGCGTCTACTTCAAAGTTTTGAATGAGACAAACAGCATGGGACACGCTCCGGTAGTCCTCTCTGCTAGCTCGACGTATCGTCGTCGCTTTCGGGGTCTGCTCGGTCCAGCAAAATCAGAGAACGTAGATCGCGCGTTAATAGAGCCTGCGACTGTGCCATCAAGTACCGAAGCATTGAGAGGAAGCCAGCTACTCAGTCCAAGAAGGGGACGATACAATGTATCCTAGAAAACGATTTGGCAAGGAATGGTGGACGCATCGAGCCCGACTCGACCGATAAGTGATGGTAATGACAGAGTAATTGCGCGAGGGTACACTGGATGCGCGGCAATAGTTCAATGTTCGTTCGGTGATTGAAGAGAAGGGATTGCATGTGCCCCAGATGAAGTTTGAGGCTCCTGCGCTAATCCGATTAGCGCGTTACCCCGCCACAACAACTGCCTCCGCCTCTATCAAACAGCCGAGCATATGTGGATTCCAATCACACTCATAGTCACATCATCTAATCTGATCAAGAATTTGAAGTCATTTACCCCATTCAGATACCCACCTGGGCAGTATAATCATTCCTGTTGTATATGCAGTTCTTGTCCCTCTAAACCCTCAAGATCTCCGAAACATGTATCCGTATATTCCATGCGGAGCCATGCCCAACTTATCAGATCCTTAGCCAAGGACACCCGGTAATGCCCTCTCGAGTCAAGAAGTAAAGAGGTAGTGTAAGCAGCCGCTTAACACTGAAGGTTACAAGCCTTGCACCTGCCATCATAAGCATTACAGACATCGTTATGGCACTTGGCGTAGCAGTTCTTGTCGCAGTCACCCTATGAAAGCACAATCATCAGTACATTTCCTCAACCTCGAATCTCAACAGGAGGAAGACTCGAATCAAACTTACCGCACGGCAGTTGTTGTACTGATCATGACACATCTTACACACATCCCCGCTGGCCATGCAAGTAGGACCCGGCTTCATGATGCATTGCTGACCCTTGGGGCACGACCACTTCTTCTGCCAGCAGTGGTCCTTGCATTCGAGGAGGTCGCCGTTGCCGCGGTTGCAGTACTCGGCGCCGTTGTTGGAGCACTTGTCGCATTTGTCGATGGCGAAGACGGGGAGGGTGAGCATGACGAAGCTGAGGAGGAGGAAGATGAGGTGGAGGGGTGACTTCATTTTGGTGCTGAGTGTGGGTAGCAGTTGGTTGGTGTGTGAGTTGGTGTTTTGAGGGTTTGGGGATGGGGATGGATGGTTGAGTGGATGAGGAGAAAGAAGGATGAGAGAAGAGGGGGCATTATATATGCCACCCGTAGCCTAGGAGAGATAAGAGACGCGGTCTATAGGTCGGTGTGGTTACGGAGACGTCAGGAGACGAGGAGAAGCGGTGGATAACCCGGCATGTTCTGCCTTCGCCTTTACTTGGGCGTTTGAAGCTACATTGATCCTAGGCAATGCTAGCAAGAGCGGTGGAGGAGGCGGCATCCTTCACCTTAATCTCGTCTTTCACAGTCCATGTGCTAAAACAAAAGTACATTATCACTTCTTGTTTTCTGAGACTTCATTCAAGAACCACCTGGGCATGATGTAGAAATCCAGTACATCCGTCAAAAGTTTTCAATACAATTATCTCTCTCATGTAAACATTTCATATCCATGTCAAATCAGGAAAAGAATAACGTGCAGTGCAGTATACCAATGTCCAGCCATGTAGACATCCATAAATCCATTTCCAATACCGTCCAAGCATGGACCACCCACATCCTCCCGCCCCAAATCCCTTGACTACCCCCGCCCTCCTAAACCTCGCATCAGTCATCTCACTCCACCCCCCTCCCCACAAAGCCACCCCCCAACGCATCCCCACCACTTCAATCCCCGCCACCACACGCTCCCGGCCAGTTCGGATTCATCTCGCGAGGATAGATGCATTCCCCATCTTTACACTTGCCGCAAGGACACACAATGTATGATTCCCAAAAGCCTGCAGAGATGGAGGTACGAAGTCAGTATATGCCTCACATGCACTTCGTACAGTCAGAACTTACCTTCATTGGTACAATGTGAAAGGGTGTAGTCGTCTTCTCTGCTGCAGCGGTCTGGTGCACCGGGCGTGCACTTGGGGCCACGTGCGTCGTTGGCGAGAGTGGAGAGGAAGATGGTGGAGAGGGTGAGGAGGACGGGGATGAGAGGTATGGATGATTTCATGTCGTTGATGGTTCTGGTGAAGAGTTGTTGTTTTTGTTGGTGGGTTGGAATCTGTTGTGTAGCTATGGAGACGGAATGATGGTGGATAGCGAAGGAAAGGTGGACATGAGCAAGAGGGCTATTATATAGGTCTTAGGGATGTTCATTTCATGCTGCTATACGTGAATGACAGACTGTGGAAGTATGCATGTGGTTGCTAAGAAGTACAGCGAACGCATCCGTTGACTCTGTGAGCATGATTTGTTCCATTAGGAAAACGGAGGGTAGCTCGTTCGTAAAACCCCTGTGAACATAACAGATCTTCCATGACAATAGGTGCTAGACGATATCACCGACTCCCCAACTGTCACTTTCGACCGCCTTCCTTTACCTGAGCAGCTCCATCGTATTGGCCGCCACTATGCCACAGCATGCTCAAACTATCGTCTTCTGATCAGCAAATGCCTCACCGGTGAAGTCTCAACGCTTACCACATCTCTGCCAAGCAGTCATCTATCGTCCGATGCAGTGGGCGGAGGCGGTCTCGCACCACTGCGGATAAGGGCACCTGTAGTTCCTCTGCCAGACACCGTTGACGCAGATCTGAACAGCGTGGCCACCGGGGGAGCACCTGGTTGCAGCGCGGTGAGGGCATCTGTCGGGCTTTGATCCTGAAGTGGCGAGAACGGGTGCGGTGATCGTGAGGAGGGCCAGGACGGCGAATGTGAGGTATGCTGAGAACACCATGGTGCCGGCTGCCTTGATGCCGGAGTTTTTGAGGTAGGTGCGACGGAAGTCTCGATTGTGAGCGGTGGGAAGTGCAGTGGCAGATATGGTGATGAAGAAAGACAGGGCTGAAGGATGATGTAGAACTTGCGCGAAAGTGAGTACTGTTTATGCAGACATAAAGCTACGAAAAGTTGCAGGTGATGGTGAGTTGTGAGTTGTCAGTGGCATGACGACGCGGTGCACTTTTACTCGGCTGTTGTAGGTGAGGCAGGGGCGTTCGACCCGACCAACATTCTCATACCTAGGCGAGCCTGCTGGGAAATACACGTATTTGATGATACTGAGAAGCTGATTTGACGCAGAACAGTGAGGCAGAAAATGACTGCTTCAAGGCCTACTTCATTCGCGATGATGTGACCCGTTGAAGTGGGGAGGCGGACCTAGGGTGCCCTCGAAATGGGAGCGGATGTCGTGTTTTCAATGCGGCGGACATCTATAGTAATTCTTAAGACTATATTCTCGGTGCTGGTCTCTGGAAGGACTTCAATTTACCGGCCTTGTTCAAATTTCATCGAGCCTCAGGCGCAGAGTGGAAGGTAAGGATGCATGTGCGAGCAATTCCTAAAAGTGAGATTGGCATGCCTATCACAACGATCCCATCGTCCAGAGCTCAAAACTCGATATCCTAGGTCTCTGTGCATGGCCGGACTCGTCGAGATATCGTTATTGTTATTGCTCGGTGATGTGTGACACCAGCTCGAGTCGTCCCTCCCCAACGCACTAGCCCCTCTTGGCGAACAAGGGTCTCTCCGCGCATCGCGAATTTCCAGTCCGACCATCATCACCAACACCAACAACCCGCCTCCGCCTCGCCCCCGCCATTGCGCCTCACACACCACCCACAATGAACCTCTCCGCATTCCGACCGGTCTTCCGATCTTACAAACCCACCCAAATCACGCAAGCGACAAACATCTGGCAAAGAACCGCACAATGGACATGTCCGCAGCAGCAGCAAAACTCGCAAAGAGCAGCTTTCTCATCAACACCGAATATGCAGAAGAGGAGTAAGAAAGGACCGGGTAATGATCCTAGGATAAGTACGTGTCTCCCCCTCCTACCTCCCCATCAGACCTGCCCCATCCAATCCAATCCAATCCCTCCCACCACACACCCACCACGACAAAACGCCCAACTAACACCCCCACAGCAAACATCCGCTACCACCTCTCCCACCCCCTAACCCCCCGCCCCCTCCACTTCTCCCGCAACCGCTCCCTCCGCCACTGGACCATCCACCGCGCCTGGCTCCTCTTCCTCCGCAAACGTCGCTGGGCCGAAGAACGCACGCTAGAACGACAATACATGGCCATGCGATCTGCATGCGAGCATCTGCGTCTCATGGACAACAACGGGAATCTGGTCAAGGAAGAGGAGGCTGGAGGTAGGGGTGCGGATCCGTCGAGGTTGGGAACGAAGGGCAGGGAGGTGGGGAGGTTGTATAGGAGTGCGATGTTGAAGAGGGGGATCTGGGGGAGTGTGCCCGTGGAGTATGGGAGGGTGCAGACGGATTTTCCGGCGAGGGAGGGGTGGAATCATGGGTGGACGAGGGATTAGAGGTTCGGTTTGGGATGAATGTGTTGGGTCGGGGTGCAGAGATGGCGAGACAGGATTGTACCATATGTATATAGCAAAAAGGCGGTCGATGTCATTATCGGCATCATCACGCAAACACCATTGCCGTCACGTTTCCCAGAACATGACAAGATGACAAAGAATGCGTGTGATATCTCATTGGTAGATTACCTCTGTTCTAGTTTACTGAGCGTGCCCGATCATTCCTTCCTCAAGAATATACAACTGAATCGCCAAAAGGAGCCGAAAATGAGTGGATGATGATGGCGCTTTCTCGTCAATCATTAAGCCAACATCTTTCGAGTAGATAAAGCTAGGGACCCCGACTAACGTATGTGTTTCCGTCTCGTGCTTTCCGCCGCAGCATCAGAACAGCCAGGCTTTTCTCTTCACCAGCTCAATCAACAACCAAAAAAAAAAGCTTATGTGTAATGCAGTTATAAGCGCTCAAACAAGCAGTCAAGACAAGAAATATCGCCCAGTAAGCAGAAGTAGAAAAAGAATTGAGAATGGAAAAAATTGAAGGCCCCAAATATATCGTACCAACTCCAGTGTGTCGTGACTCCGCCCAATGCAGTGTGTGTGATATGAAGATAAGAAGAAGATATAAGATGCAAGAGAAGACGGTTTCTCAAAGTCTCACAGGACAACGCATCCGCACCCGGGATTCTCCTTCTTATCCACACTCAGCAGCGCCGCCCTAGTCGCCGCTTCAAAAACATCGTCCACGCCATCCCCTGTCAGGGAACTACATTCTAGGTATTTCCTCGCGCCAATCATGTCCTTCATATCGGCGCCTTGTTTCGGTGTAGTAAACCTCAAGCTCTTCTTGCGCATTTCTTCCTGTGCGAGAGGGTCATCGCGGAGATCTTTTTTCAGGCCGACGAGGATAATGGGGACGGTGGGACAGCGTTCGCGGGCCTCCTCTGCCCACTTGTGCTTAACGTTATCGAGGGAGTCGGGGGAGTCGACGCTGAAGCCGATGAGGATGACGTGGGCTTTGCTGTAGGCGAGGGGACGGAGGCGCTCGTAGTCTTCTTGGCCGGCTGTATCCCATAGGGCGAGTTGCACGGACTTGCCGTCTACTCTACAGTCGGTGACGTAGTTTTCAAAGACGGTTGGGACGTAGCGCTAATGACGGGTTAGGATATTGGGGAGACGGCTTATCGGTCGATGTATTGGACGTACTGTTGGAAAATATCCGAGAGTGAAGACGCTCAGAAGACTAGTCTTGCCGCAAGCACCGTCGCCAATAATGACCAACTTCCTAGAGGCACAAGATCAGCATGCTGTGTGGGTGAAGGGTGCATGGTGTGACAGCGTCGGCGTGACCGAGAGTGGATGTCGGCGCAAACAAGAGGATGAAGTGCAGTGCATGACCAAAAAGAGCAAGAATTGAGCGCGAGTCGATAAACAGTGGACATGGGGGACATGTAGGGTGGCCTATTTTTAGTTGGTCGTGTCGTCGGACCGGGTGCGCCAATGCAAGCTATGGCGCAAACCGGGGTGTCTCAGCTCCAACGATGCATCGTACCATTGCGGAGGGAGAGGTAGAGCAGAATTTGACGGAGGAATTGCCGACGAAATAAACATTTGGTGTCGTCAAAAGAGAGTCGGACGGAAGGAAATAACGTTGGGAAAAGCAATTGCGCGCGTAAGAAAACGGTCGTGAGAGATCGACATGAGATAAGTTTTGACCAGGGTCCAAAAAGTGAAGATCAAACGTACCTGCGCATTACAGGCTCGCCATTCTGCTGCTGCTGGGCCATTGTGGGGGTGTGTTTGGGGAAATGCCGCACTCAGCGGGAGCCTTGTCCGGAGATGCTGGGTCGTGTTATTGGCTGGAGCGCGTTCGCAGTTGCGGTCGTGATGTCGTAGAAGCCGAAGGGGAGCGGTGCGCGGGCGGAAGGATACAGTGAAGTAGCCTTGTTTGCGCGAGGGCGTTGTCGAGGGTGTTGTCGGGGTAATGCGAGTGTAATGGCGCGAGCGAGGTGATCTCGGGCCCAACAATGGTGATTGGCGATGTTATGGCTCGCGACGAGCGAGTGTCAATGGCGCGCCGGGGGGAGAGAAGCGACAGACTACAGCGGACTAGCAGCGGAGGGGTGGTGAGTGTCGGTGGATGGGTGTCGAGGTGAAGGTGAAAGCAATGCGTGAGTCCAGCGACAGCAACGGGTGCAATGGAGCAAAAAGCGGTGGTGCAGTAATGAAGTGGACGGGCCGGTGTTTAAGAATGAAGCTTGGGGACGATCACAGCGGAGACAGGCACGAGCTAAAGCTACAGACGGCTGGGCTGGGGTCGGGGGACGCTGGCACTGGCGTGGTCAGGGTGCGGTGTGCGAGAGCGAGTGTGTTGAGATACGAATGAATGGCCGTCGCGGAGCACTTGCACTGCACAGCCTCTCGCCCAGTTCCTTCCGTTCCAGAAGACGCCAAGACGTGGCACCTGCGGCAGGTGCGAATCGCAACGCGGTACCACAATGGGCCGACGACCATCAACAAGAGGCTACGACAGCGCGGCATGTGCTAGCAGCCCGAGCCCGAGCACACGACCGTCATACCCCAAAGCCTGAACGCAAGTCTGCCGCGACACAGCACGAAGCCCCCCATCTGCCCTGGTGTGCGTGACGCCCCTCCAATTCCTCTCCTCCACCTCCACCTCGCACTTTTGCTCCCCGGTGGCCGTACGCTAGCCCTCCCGCGCCATCGCCCGAGCTGTCACCCACTCGACTCCCCAAACCCGCGCTCTAACAGCCGTGCAGCAGGACACCGCGACACACACACACTCCCCCCATGGCCCAGGGAACACGCGGGCCCGCCCCGGCTCAACTGCCGCCCAACGGCACTGCGACGCACGCCCACGATGCCACCCCGACCGCCGTCAACCGCAAGAAGCAGAAGCGACGCGAGAAGGAGGCCGCCAAGCGAGCCGCACAGGAGCCGCCTGCGCCTGCGCCCGCGCGGAATGGCGTGTCGCCTGCCCGAGGGCCGCCCGGCCAGCAGCAGTACGCCGACGCGGAGCTGGACGAGGCGGCGTACGACGAGGGGGAGTACTACTCGGACGAGGAGTACGAGCACGCGTACGGCACAAACGGCGACTACCCCCAGGGCTACGGCCACGCCCCAATGCGCAGCCAAGCGGGCAAGAAGACGCGGCGGAAGAAGAAGGCGCCCTCCGCACCCCCTCCGCTGGCCTACACCCAGCACGTCGCATCACGCCTCAGCCCCGCACCCGCCCACCAAATGTCGCCCGCCCACTCGGTCGCGCGCTCCGGCCAACGCGGCGACCGCATATGGAACACGACCATGCAGGACGAGCGGGACCGCATCCGCGAGTTCTGGCTGTCCCTCGGCGAGGACGAGCGCAAGTCGCTCGTCAAGATCGAAAAGGAGGCGGTCCTGCGCAAGATGAAGGAGCAGCAGAAGCACTCGTGCAGCTGCACCGTCTGCGGGCGGAAGCGCACCGCCATCGAGGAGGAGCTGGAGGTTCTCTATGATGCATATTACGAAGAACTCGAGCAGTACGCGCACCACCAGCAAGACGTCGGTAGTTTCATTCCCGAGGCTAATTATGGTTATGCGTCCAGTGCTCCTCACCACCCGCGCCCCATGCTGAACCCCCACCCCCCGTCCGGCCCCTACGACGACGACGAAGAAGAGTACGACTCGGGCGAGGAAGAGGAGGAAGACTCCGAGTACGACAGCGAGATCTCGTCAGAAGGCGGCTACAGCTCAGGCGAGCGCAGTCTGCCGCCGCCCGAGCCCTCAGACTTCCTCCAGTTTGGCAGCAGTCTGCAGGTCAAAGGTATGCCCGCCCCCTACCCGTGCTGGGAGCATGCTGATTCATCCTTTTAGGTGGCATACTTACGGTTGCTGACGATTTGCTCAAGAACGATGGGAAGAAGTTCATCGAGATGATGGAGCAGCTCGCTGAGCGTAGGATGCAACGGGAAGAAGATGCCCAAGTCCAGGCTCACCCCGGCGCCCAGCACCGATCGTACAGCGGCCACAGCCACAGCGCGCCTCCGCCCGACGAAGACGACTACGACGAAGAGGGCGAAGACGATGAAGAGTACGACGACGACGACTACGAAGAGGACGAGGAGGATGAGGAAGTGCGTATTCTAGGCTGGACTATCTATCTGCAACTAACCCCGCCCAGGGCGCCATGACCGAGGAGCAACGGATGGAGGAAGGCCGGCGAATGTTCCAGATCTTCGCAGCGCGAATGTTTGAGCAGAGAGTGCTCCAGGCGTATCGAGAAAAGGTGGCCGCGGAACGTCAACAAAAGCTACTCGAAGAACTGGCAGAGGAGGATGTGCGGAAAGATGCGAAAGAGGCAAAGAAAGCAAAGGAAGCCCAAAAGCGCAAGGAGAAGAAGGACAAGCAACGGCAGCTGAAGGCGGAACAGGAGGCTCGCAAGGAAGCCGAACGAGCAGCCAAGGAAGCCGAGGCCAAGGCTGCGGAGGAGAAGCGACTAGAGGAACAGCGGAAGAAGCGAGAAGAGCAGCGCAAGAAGAAAGAGGCTGAACGCAAAGCCCAGGAGGAGGAGAAGCAGCGCAAGGAGGCCGAGCGTCTGAAACGACAGCAGGAAGAGCGCGAGCGACAGCAGGAGGCAGAGAGAAAAGCACGCGAACAGAAAGCCCTTGAGAAAAAGGCCAAAGACGAGGCAAAACGGAAGGAACGTGAAGAGCGGGAAGCGAGGGAGAGGGAAGTGAAAGAAAAGAAGGCACAGGAGGACAGGGACCGCAAGGAACGGGACTCGAAGACCAAGGGCCAAACGCGCAAGGAGGATCAAGCCGCCGCTGCAGCTGCCCACAACGCTATTGCGGGTGCGAAAAAGGCTTCACAGCCAGTGGCTGTCGCGCTGCCTCCTCAATTGCTGAAGCAGAATTCGTCTACGGGAATGCCATCGCCGCAGGTCACGCCAGCTGTACCGAAGGCTCCAACCCCGAACCGACCGCGCCAAACATCGCACCAGACCTCCCACGGCTCATCGCCAAAGACTCCCCATGCTACTCTAGGAACAAGCAAGTCGACATCCCCGACCTCCCAGTTGCCAAATCAGTCGATACCAAGGTCGATTTTGACGAAACCGCCAATCCAACAACAAGGTCTGGGGACCCCGCATGGGCAGCCATCGTCTCCGATGCCTCCAATGGGACCACCGCCAGGTATGCAAGGGCCACCAGGACTGGGCATGAACATGCCTCCAGGGCTGAACGGCTTCCCTGGTCATGGATCAATGATGCCTGGAATGATGGGACCACGTCCGAACATACCATTCTTCCCTCAACCAGCGCCCCAGAGCTTCCGTGGATTTCCACCTCCCGGCATGCACACACCAGGTGCACTTCCAATTGGCCGTGGTTTCCCGATGGAAGGACCACCAGGTTTTCCAGCACCTCCAGGCTTCACTGCGCCGATGCCATCCGCCTTCCCGATGGGCATGCCGACGCACTCGCGACAGGGTTCGGGGTCTTTTGAACGACTTTCGAACGAGAGCCCCATCACTGGTCCTCAAGCACAGCCCATTCAACGGCCAACGCCTATCAAGCGCCCTTCAAGCGTGAAGGCGGGCGATGAGAATGGACAGCAGGGGTCTGATGTAGACGAACTGGCAAATCACCTAGGCAGTAAAGCGCTGCTAGACGACGATGACGACATCCCCGAACTACCCGATCGACGCCCAAGCATGCAACAACACGGCTCAGTGAGAGCGCCATCATTCGGCTTCGCAGACATACCCGGGTCGCAATACGGCTCGTTCGGAGCACCAGGCGGCGGCAGCATCTGGGGCACACCACCCCTACAAGGCTTCCACTCCGGTGCCAACTGGGGCAACTCGCCCACCTCCAACATCTTCAACAGCCCCTTTTCCATGAACACGACGCGAACCCTCGAACGTAACGCAAACGAGCAGCGCATAGTCTGGCTCCGCCGTACCATCTGCGCTGCATGCAAGACCCTCGCTCCCCGCGCCTCGGACGCAGACGGCTACGTCGACGCGTCGGAAGTACACCGTCAAGTCGAGGCTTCGCGCGGTGCCATGGATCCTGCTGTGAGCGTGGATGAGATCAAGGAGGCGTGCGATATCCTTGATGTTACGCATACGAATGGTGGGGGTAGTCTGGAGTACAAAGAAGATGCCAGTGGCAGGTTGTCGCATATCAAGTTTAGTGATGGTGCGATACAGGCTCCTCCTTCGAGCTTGGGCGAGATTGGTAGCCCGGTTCCTGGTCACAGCGTTCTTGCTGGTGGGTTTGGTGGGAGGTTTCCTGGATTGGGACCGCAGGGTTTCTGAGGAGAGGAATTGATTGGTCTCTCCTCTCTTTCTGTTGGAATGTTCCATTCTTTTTCTTTGGCAATCGTGCTGGGTCTCTGTTCCCTCATACTTGTTTCTTTAGTAGATGAGAGACGAGTTGTCGGTCTTAGTCTAGTTTCTTCCTCTTGTGGTAGATGGATGCCAAGTGGAGGTAATCTAGTCGCTGAGAGATGTGCCATGATGGAAACTTGATGTGCTTTGATCTTGTGAAGTGATCATGTCGATGATGCTCACGATACTGACATGATGTTGTTTTGTGGAAATCTACGGTACACGAGGAAGGATGTTGCTCAGACATGACTTCCTCATCTTGATATCTCTTTCCTGTTCAGATACCCCAGCACACGCAAAGTACGCATAAAATGGTGCTAAAGGGGGGTCGTTACATCATGGATACTAAGCACTCTTGTACATCTAGTGAAAACTTGCGTGCGATCGAGCGTA